AAAAACCTAGTGCAAGCATTTTGCACTCTTTGGATGAGCCGATCTGTACGAGATAAGAGGCGGGGCCATACACAGAGTCCGCATAGTTTTGTTTCTAGAAAGAACTAGAGTTCAACCAGCTGCTCCCGTAATGCTTCCGAAAATTACGCTCGCATCCTGTATAAAACGATAGAAACAATTTCTGACTGTGTTCGCTACGTGCGTTTCAAAACGAAAGTCTTTGTCTATAAGTAGTCCTAAATTCCTCGCCTTACACACTCGCTCAATCTGTTCACCCAACAGTTTTAGGTCGAATAACAAAGGCAGCGTAGGAAGCTGCCGTCTTGAGCCAAACACCGAATACTTAGTTTTTATGGGATTCAGTGACAAGCGGTTTTCTTCAGTCCAAGCGGCAATTCTCTGAAGGTCATCCTTAATATCTTTTGTTGCATCCTTGTACTCTTCTGACCCGAAAAATATGTAAACCTGAACATCATCGGCGTATATATCATATTTATATTTATAATATATATTTACATTTATAAAGACACTTGATTATATCAGCACAATATTAAATGAAAATAATCGGGCCTAGGATGGAGCCCTGGAACTCCTCGCTCTACTGCTATGAGTGCTGATCTCAGAGTAGTGCCATCACCCAAACGAAGATCGAAAAACTGCCTTGTATAAGTGAGGTAACTGCGAAACCACTGAACAGCGCTAGGGTCGAAACAGCAATATTTCAACTTGCGCAATAAAAGCAGGATATTTATTGCATCAAAAGCCCGGGAAGAATCTAGCAGGAACATTATCGATAACGTCTTGTAGACGTCTTGGGTTAGATGTTCGCTGATGATCTTTCTCCAATACCTTGGGTAAGCATAGCAAAATGCTAGGACGCAGATCTTTTAAAACGGTTGGGTTTGAGATTTTAGGTAGTGACCTGACTACCTGACTAATGCAATTTTTCATTGATCGGGAAACGTGGTGTTTAACGTATGAGGCAGAGTCATGTTAATCACATCTAAGGTGATTTGTTGTGGCCCTCGGCGATAAGAGATAAGAGGTTTCGGAGACTTAAGGATTGAGGGTTGATGGTAAGGATTGGGCGTCCGATAGCCTCACACGGCGAAATACAGCGCCGTGGTTGTTTCATGAGTACGTGGTATTGTTACACAGTTTTCTTTAAAAACTAGTAATATAAAATACTAAATCACATAGTTTGCTTTCTTATCAATTAAATGTTAAGTAGGTCAGTACTCAATTTAATTAACTGATAGTTACAGTTGACTATCTAGCATCGAATTAATTTGTTAATAGATAATTTATCTTATCTTCATGTAAGGGTTCCAATTTCAGTAGCATAATGACTCTAACAGAACGATGAGTATTTGATAGAACATTATTTATTAATTGGTCTTGCTATTTAAGGTCCATTATCCTTTAAATCAAAAACTAATCATGTGTGTGATATCAATAAAGAATATTTTTGTTGTGGAATTCGTTTTTTAGCGTCTCTGTTTAGTGCCTCCATACGTTTTATCTTAAGTCGACTTATTATACACGTTACGCGCTATTCGATGTATTTATCGTGTTTAATCTTATCTATTTAAATTATGTGTTGATTAATTGCAATTATTTAGTCTAAGAACAATACTAGTGGAGCTAGTTTTGCTCAAAATGTCCCGGCTGGTGTTATTTCTGTTTTCATATTGTGTTTTATGTGGAGTTCGAAGTGCTTCAGGAAATTACGACCTGAATATTCTTCATTACAATGACTTCCATGCAAGGTATGTTATTGTCTTTTGTTTTTAAATAATCTTACGAAAAATATATTTATATTCCAAATCTCGGAAACGGCTTCAAGGATGTTTATAACATTTAACATACAGTGATTTTCAGGGGTGATAAATCGATCTAGCTGGGATTACTTTTCAGATAGATTTAAAAAAAAATTAAAGCATAAAGTTAACTCTATCGTATTTAATACTTAAAGTGTAATAAGAACAAATAATAAATAAATATTACAAAAATCTTGTTCATCCAGATACATTTAATTATCAAACTACAAAATTCTTCCATGCAGTGTCGAAAGTTAAATAACGCTATGAAAAATCGCTAAGGTGTAATTTGAGTATTCTAGTTATATCTCCTTCTTGAGTCATATTGCAATGATACTTCTCGATTATCGTTCGGCAAACGAGCAGGCGGATTATCTGGTGGTAAGCATACGGCACCGCCCAAGAACACTCGCAACACAACCGCGACACGCGACGAGGCGAGTGTTGCGGAATGCTGCTCATGTACATGGGCCTCTAGCATAGCTTGAAACTAGTCGAGTATGTCGTCAAATTATTACATGAGTAAGCCGAAAACATAGTAATTAATTTAGAATGTCTCACGAAAGTTTTAATAAAAATAAAGTAAACCGTTTCTGTTATTCTTGAGAATAATGCCATCTTGTATCAAATGTTGTAAATATTGTTAACAAAAATATAAAGAAACAGGAAGGCGTGTCTTTTCAAAGATAAGTATTGATTATTTTTCAATTTCGATTTTAATTCTTGGCACACAAAACCACGTATGTAAGGCACGGACGGTGTTGCTAATTTACTTTGAAATGTTTTAATTTTAAGTTAGGTAATATGAATGATAAGATGAGATAAGATACGTTAATTTGTCACAAAACATGTGTTTACATACAAAAATTGAGCATGCAAGATCCTTTAAAAATCAGTCTATCCGTACCCGTTTTACCGGATTAGGTGTACCAATATTATTTCTTACAATTAGGTTCTTATTTAATTCAACTGGACATTACTCTTTTGTCTATGTTTGTCTGATTATATTACCAATCCATTTTTAATAATAGTATTTGAATTTTTTCACATTCACATTGGGCTCACAATTAGTTAATTAGTCACTAGTTATGTCAAAAATGATGAAAAAACAATGTCCAAAACGTCAAATACAAAATATGTCCACAAATTAAAATGTGTCAATTAATACAAAATATGTCGACAAATGTGTCAAGTAATGCAAACATAATAATATGTCGAAAATGAAAGTATGTCAAATAATACAAAATTTGTCAAATACATCAAAAGCTAAAATACGTTCGTCAAAAAGTTATTAATGCTGTAATAACATTTGTCTATCAATAAATTTGCAACCTTCTTCTTAAATGAATTAATACTCAGTACCTCAGTACCATTTTGTTCTCTCAATGTAAATAACGTTTACATATTCTTTCAATTCAAAGGGATCATATTACATCAATTGTGTAAAAAAATATATGAGAATATCACAATGTCAAAAGACTTCAACATAGACATAACTAGAAAAAAAATGTTTTGGAATTTGAAGGAATTTGCAGGTAGACCTCGTAACCAGACATCATAAAGTGTTCAGTTACACAAGATAAAGTACATCAACACTAGTATTTTTCTCCTCCAATTCTTATAGGTAAACAGTCAACGCATTAATTTTGTTTAAAAGTCCTGCTATATTCTGAAGCATCCCGCATATACAATTATTAACGAAAAAAACCTGATTTTCAGTTTCCCGTACATGGGTTCATGTGTCTTTAGGGTAATTAAGCACCTTTGTTCGTGAATATTAAAGTATTGTAAGCCCATAATTATTGTGTAAAAGTTAGCAATTATTTAGTTGCCCTGAATGCCTAAAAAATGAACTATAGTCATATTCTACATTTTAAGTCAAGTCTACGATACGTGCATATTTATATTTACCAATATCTTTATACAGAGACTGATTAAAATTTGTTACACGCCAGTTAAACATATTTGAATTAACATTGTACTTATATGTGGCTAAACAAATTAAAATATTAGTATGAGTTATGCCACTGAGGGTATTCTTATGTCTGATATAATCTTTGAGTAATTTTTGCTAACATTCAAGTCCTACTCGCCGAAAAGAATCACACAGAAATCATTGTTTGTTTAGTCATTTATTTTTGTATGTATACCCTCAAGGATAGATACAACAAAAATATGTAAGAAAAAGGATTGTGTACGAGGGTTAATTATTTTGGTATCGTCACGCGTTCTTAAAGGAAAGAAAGGTCAATGTTGTCAACGTATATATTTTGGTAAAATAAAATAGGCGCAGTCCCACACAACCCTTTCCGCTTGGACGAAGGTGGCGGATGCAGTCCTCTAACCCAAAAAAATATACAATTATTGTGATAAAAGTATAATAGTGTCCGCGACTTGCTATGCAGAGGAGTCTCAAGTGACTATTCCAAGTAGGACGTAGCCCGAGAGTGCACCTTGATAGTAGCCTTCACTCAAAACACAAATGTACTGGCGGGGGTCATTAAGTCGCGGAGAATTTAACACCGCCATGTAAAATATGACGTCATGCTCACAACATGCCGTTGTTCTATTATTGAATTTTGAAGTTATACAATGTAAACGATGAAGTTCACTATTGAAATAGGTTTGACATTATATTATAAATAGTTGTGTTACAATTGTCGGTTTACAAAAATATTTCATTAATAATGTTTCAAGGATTAAGATTTTAATGATAAAAAATAACATTGATATTTCGACGTCATAATTCAGGATTTGATACATAGATAACGTGCATTATAATAATGCAATTATTCGGTGATTTAGATAACAATAGTTGATAAATAGTTTTAAAACATATCTGTCCAATAAGGAAATTGGAATAAATTACTGATAGTCGGAGTTCGAACATAATGAAATAAATCGTCTCACGCACTGAACACGCCCAGTATCTTTATTCAGCAGTAGATAATACTCGTGATAGTTAAATCATGTTCGTTTATAATAATATGTTTTATGTATAAATAATATGTTGTATTTGTATATATCACATCATATCATCAGCCTCTAAGTGCCCAGTTCTGAGCAAAGGCCTCTTCTCACACGGAGAAGGTTGTAGCATTCATCACCACGCTTACTCAAGGCAGATTGACGATTTCAAACTTATTATTATTAGATATTATAAGAACAGGTTTCCTCACGATGTCTTCCTTCATCGTATGTGAGTAGTGTCTAAAATAATAGGAATACCAGGTTTCGAGCCCGCATTATCATGCATGAAATGATAAAATAATAAATAAAAATGCATTTATTTTCCATCACTAATGTAGGAACAGCTTAGACAGTATGTAACAATTCAAGGGTGGACTGGAGCCTAAACTAGAGAAACCTTGTATTTCAGGACTCCAGACCACTCGCCTTTTTTTTGTCAGGTGTAAATCATCAAATGACTTCTCCCGCCCAGGGTTAGGCGAGAGAGAGTGTCAGACTCTTACTGACTAAAAACCCCCCCGTTCCTTCTCCAGCTCTGGGTCAAGGCCGCGGTAACTCATTGCTCTTAACCCGCAAACCCGGCTGCAGATTACTCGCCTGCGGTACAAGTATTGGATAACACGTATGAGAGTGTAACAAGTACGAGATGCGGGTGTTTTAACCTAAACTTAATGTTTAATAGTACCTTATATATATTTTTTTTATGTAATAGTTCGGCAAACGAGCAGACGGATTACCTGATGGTAAGCAATCAGCCACGGACACCCGCAACGGAGGAGTTACGAGTGCGTTGCCGGCCTTTTAGGGATAAGGGATTAGGGATTTGGAGATTGAGGAGGGATTGGGGGAGGGAAAGGATTGGGCCTCCGGTAACCTCACTCACACGGCGAAATACAAGGCTGTGGTTTTTTCACGCCGGTTTTCTGTGAGGCCGTGGTATCACTCCGGTCGAGCCGACCCATTCGTGCCGAAGCATGGCTCTCCCACACTTAACACACATTTTTGTATTGGTTAATAACAGATACTATACTTTAAAATTTCAGATTCGTAGAGACAAGCCCAGCTGGAAATATTTGTAACCCGAATGATGACCCCTGCATAGGTGGTTTCGCTCGTCTAGCTACGTTAGTTCGTAATCGTCTAAAAGAAGAAAAAGATTCCCTTCTCCTCAATGCTGGAGACAGCTTTCAGGGTACCATCTGGTACAATATTCTTCGGTGGAATGTGACACAGGACTTTATGAATATGCTGCCTCATGATGCACACGTAAGGATTTATTTTCATAGTGAACCATACTGACCTGAGTGACAGACTGACGGCACAGTTGACGCGTAGTTCTGTCATCTTTGTTAAAATAAGGTAGGAATATCGAAATTTGAGATACCATGTACATTTGTATAAAATTTATTTGGACATCATAAAACTTGCCTCAAAACCTACATATGATGATGTTGCAACTGTTTTTATAATAACTATCGTGAGACATACTAAATTAACTAAAAATCGCGGGTTACTTCGCAGGCGTCCGCGCACGCTGCTCATGAGGAAGAACCCCTCTGTGGTTCGAAAGTAGTAGAGCTTTTCTCAATGTTGCAACTGTCAAAAAATTACGGTTAGACAAGTAGGTTCTAGGTTAGGCTTGTTTGATTTCGTTTTAGCTCGTATAAATTCGGTTCGGGTCGTATGATTATTTATTATTTATTTATTTATTTATTATTGCTTAGAAGGTACATTCTACATTATAAAAAGTATAAAATGTCCAACAAAACTGTATACACAGTTTGTCTGTTGGATCAGATTTCTAAACTATTGACTTACTATAGGATTTCGGTTCAGCTCGTCAGATTTCGGTTTGGCTCGTACGATTTGGCTTGACTCGTAATATTTTTGAAATTTTTCGTTCTTTTATAAACTGCATAAGGCGTGTTTTTGATCGGGCCTGCTAAATAGTTAATACTGCTCACTCACTGCACATCTCAAAAACGATTCGATGCATAAGAAAACTTTTGAAATAAATATTGTAGAGAATTTTTTCCTCCTTTATGACAGATGCGGACATCTCACAAGTTTTGAGGCAAATATTGAGATGTCCAAATAAAAATAACAAATATACAGTTAGGTATCACAAATTTCGAGATGAAACTACTAAGATGACTTGACTAACAGTGAATAGGTAACCAGCTACCATGACACGTTTTATGTGATCCATATGAAGGAGACGGACGAACTTTTACTAACTCAAAACCGCTCGTTGCTTCTCCTGCTCCAGGCCGAGGTTTCCGTACATTATTGCATTTTTACAAGAATATCATGCCATCGAGTTTTGTTGTGTACAAAACATATAAATATTTAAACAACACTTTCTGGACACTTAATAAATCCATTCTCAGGTACTAGGAAATCATGAGTTTGACAACGGCATTGAAGGTGTCGTCCCATATTTGCAACATTTGGACTCCAAAGTGGTAACAGCCAACATCATTGATGACTTGGAACCTACAATGCACGGTTTATATGAAAAGAGTATAATTGTCACAAGAAAGGGCAGAAGAATTGGAATCATTGGTGTTATAATAGCAACTACTAACGTGAGTCAAATATTTAACTTTAAATACATTTGCATATTGAGGACTTAATGCTAAAAGTATTTTCTGCCAGTCATCATTTTGGTAGTGCAAAGATGGCTGTGGTATATGGTTTATAAGTAGTAGCTTAGTAAGATAAGGAAAGTAGAAGTGTACGTCGGAGAATGAAAAACGGCACGCCAAGCCAACATCGACTTGGGTGTATTTGGTATCAGCGCTGGAAGACTAAAAGACGTGAACTATATTATTAACTGTCATACGGTTTTTATTCTCGGAGGCGTAGGCAAATAATTTCATTTACGTGACACAACATGATTTAATACTAAGTTTAACAAATATAGTAATTTACAAGTTGTCATTCATAGCAGGATAGTTATAACCACTTTCCACTAAGATACTTTTTCATAGAATGGGTCGGTAGATGAGCAGACAGATGACCTTATGGTAGACGATCGGAGCGACACATAGGTATTCGCAACTCTTGACGGGTTACAAGTACCCTGCTGCCTTTTTAGGAGTTGTTAGGGATTTGTATATATTATAGGAAGGAAAAAGACCGACAGCCTACCCTCCGGCTGGCAACGCAACGAAAATAAGCAGTCGTTTTTATATTTCAGACCTTAGCTTCAACTGGCAGACTTAGATTCACTGATGAAGTGGAGGCCGTGAGAGAAGAAGCAGAAAAACTAAACGCTCAAGGCGTGGATATTATAATTGTACTGTCACATTGTGGAATAGATATTGACAGGTACCTTCTTATTTAGCCACAAGCATGTCATAAGCATCTTAAATAAGCCTAAATTACTCATTTACTTCTCACCTTCTCGCCGCCACGTCTAGAGAGCAGTAATTGTGTTATTATAATTTCACATCCACAAAGATTTTGTTATCTATTTCCTTTTATTTTATTTCGTAATGGGCAGGCATTTGGCCGCTATGACGTCTGATGGTAAGCGATGATGCAACCTACTTTGGAGCACACGTACCCTTATGAGTTGTTTATCAACTTATTAACTCGGGCCTTCAAGATTGGGCCTTGCCAAAACGTTATAACGGTTTTCAAATTTAAAGCCACTACCACCATCGTTTCTATAACTCCTTTTTAGATTACATGCCTTCAATTAAAATTTTAACTAAAACTCAACGGTCTTTCTCAAAATTAATGCAGAGAAATAGCTATGCACGCTGGTCCTCATGTGGACATCATAGTTGGAGGACATAGCCACACTTTGTTATACAATGGAGAGGCTCCTGAAAACAGTGGATTCACTCCATTGGGACCCTACCCTGTGGTTGTGGAACAAGCATCAAGAAAAGTATGTATACGTCTCGATGCATTACAAATCTCGATATTTTACAATCATAGGTCACACTTTTTGAATTCATTCATTTGATTTTAGACTTTTAAGTTAGATTTTGTAAATTTGCGTGGATGTAACTTTCCTCTTTCCACCGTCCCATATCCTCAATCTCCAACCCTCAAAACCTTTGTAGCAAAAAGGTTTGTATCACCTTCGTAATTATCTCGTGGTGTCGATGGCCATCGACGGGACCGATTCCTTTTTTTTGAGAGGAATAAATCTTCACATTGCACTGGGTTAGGCAACAAGGAGTGTTAGACGTTTACTAACCATAAGCCACCCTGTTCCTTCTCCTGGTCCAGGCTGAGGTCGTGGTGTATTATTGTGTGACCAACAACCCGAGCCGGATATTAAATTTGTTATCACATAGAAAAATATATGGAAGTAAGTACAATAGGTAGAATTTCACAGGATGATGACGATAATCTTTGGATTTAGGTTTTAATAGTACAAGCGGCAGCACATACTCAGTATTTGGGTGAGATCAAACTTACATTTGATGATAATGGACACCTTCTAAGATGGAATGGAGATCCTCACTACATAGGAAATGAAATTCCTCAAGGTGAGTGACTAAAAAATAATGAAATGAAAGTGTTTGTCGTGTGGTCTTTATGACAAGACGATAACGTTACGGGATAAAAATATTAAGCCTATAGAACTTAAATTTAAAAATATATTACAATTTTTTTTCTAAGTGACCCACTTAGAAAAAAATATGTTTTTGATGTTAATTATGAGAAATTATAGATTAACTACCCTAAATGAATTTAAATGGAAATCTATTGCTATTAAAATATTATTTATTCTTCCAGCACCTGACGTTTTGGAGAAGATCAACTACTATTTGCCACGTATTGAAGAACAAGCTACTGAAGTGATTGGTTCATCTTTAGTTCGTCTGTCATCAAGTTGTGCATGTTCCGAGTGTAATCTGGGCAACCTTATTTGTGACGCCTTTTTGCATGCAGTAAGTTTTTATTTCCTTTTTTTTTTCTTGAAAAATTTGGAGTAAAGTTATTTTATATTAAAATCCAACTATTGACATAATAATATCTTCTTTATTGAAAACTAGCTTTTGCCCGCCGACTTTGTTCGCGTAGAATAGTGCCATCTCTAGTTCCAAACTATGTCGGTACCAAATTTCACACTTTGAATTATTGTGATTCACATTCACACTTTGAATTCGTGAATTATTCGAGATTTTCAAGCCACATGGGAAAATGGATTTTTCAAATAATCAATGACACACATTACATATTATACAAGAGTAAAATAACTATTTCAGGTCATACCTAGAGCAGCCAACAACAGCTGGAACTATGCTCATTTCTGTGTGATTAACCAAGGAGGCATAAGAGTACCTATTGAAGAAGGAGGTAAGAATATTTGGAACACATTTTAAAATTTAATGTTTATGCTTTCTGCTTTTTTGTTCTTTATTGTTTTTTTTTTATGTAATAGGTCGGCAAACGAGCATACGGATTACCTGATGGTAAGCAATCAGCGCCGCCCATGGACTCTCGCAACGGAGGAGTTACGAGTGCGTTGCCGACCTTTTAGGGATTAAGGATTTGGAAATTTAGGGATTGAGGAGGGATTGGTGGAGGGGAAGGATTAGGCCTCCGGTAACCTCACTCACACGGCGAAACACAACGCAGTGGTTATTTCACGCCGGTTTTCTGTGAGGCCGTGGTATCACTCCGGTCGAGCCGACCCATTCGTGCCGAAGCATGGCTCTCCCACGCTTAGCATGGTTTATTGCTTTCTGTTGATCATTAAGTTGACTTTTGTTTTGGTTTGGCAATAACCAATTAAATGTTCTTAAGTCCGCTAAGTTTGCATACACTTTTATCCTAATAGATTTTCAATACTATAAAGTATGTCCTGATTCGTAAAAAACTGAAATCATCATACCACCAGAATATCAGGAAAACGTCATCGCTTCATGGTGGATATTCCATCTACACGCACGAAGCAATTTTCTACTTTTATTATCAGAACAACGGAGCGCATTTTTTTGAAGACCGCGTTCCCCAAAGGAACCTGGGTGCCTTCAATGCCTTAGGGAATAGGTTTGTCGTGCTTCATTGTAAGTTGCATAATCGCTTACGATCATTGTGACAGCAGTTAAATTCCTGCCCATTACTAAATAAAACTGAAGCTTTTACCCCTTTTATCAGTATCGATGCTCTTGGTCAACTTTTTTCACAATTTACCTTAGATCACTAGCCATTTTTGTTCTCATATAGATGGACTATGCAATTACTATACCCAGCTAGTGGCACTAGTGTTATTGCTGCCATTAGTGTTGCGGCTTGTGTAATAGCTCGGTTTCAATGTTTGCTCCAATTCTGATCGTTTTCCCGATACCAGGGACACTCTAATTTTATTGGATTACATCGTTTCTACTACGTTTTAATTTGTTCGAAAGTAATGAGTTATTGTTCTATCATCTTTCGTGGTTGCACAGAAGTTAAGGGGAACGATTCTCGTGCAAACTGCGGATTCCAAACCTGGCAAGTACCAATGTGACTTTTTCCGAGTTATATGTGCTTTCTAAGATTTAGACACCACTGACACACGGTGAAGGGAAAAGTCGTGAGGAAACCTGGACTTATTATTTCTAACTATAAGATTGAAATCGCTAATGCGCCTTGAGCAAGCATAGCGATAAGAGGCCTTTGCTGTGTATCATATTATGTTGATGATGATAATTAATGAGTCATTATTTGTTTACATAAATATAAAAAGCAAAGAATATTAAGTCCCATTTAATTGAATAGCTTTGTTAATACAATGTTTAACAGATTAAGCAGAACAGATTGTAAATAATTTATTTCTACCTAAATAAAAACTGAACCCAGTATTGATTGTTAAAATTATTCTCAACTCCAAAGTTTTCAAGTACAAAGCAATCAATAAGAATATTCAAATAACTGCAAAGGATTCGTTTTACAACTTTCTTTAAATTCATATTTCAGAAATAACTTTTGAGTCGCTGATATTGTCTACCCCCTTTGAGAACAATGTAGAAGTTTTTGACTTGAAAGGTGAACATATTCTGGAAATGTTGGAGTATTCGGTGGCAAACGAACCCTACGCTGGCGCACGAATGCTGCAAGTGTCAGGTAATAATTTCAATAAATCATCCTTTATAAATTTCAAAACTATAAACTAGAATCAGTCCGTCAAATAAAATATCTTTCATATCAAAGGACTTACAACAAAAGAACTAGTTAAAAACTTTTGAATTTCAAACGAAAGTTTGATAAAGTGTAATGCATCTTGGAAAATTAAATTCATTGTCTTTTGCGGCGTACCTACGTAATTTTACTCTTTTTGAAACTTTGAAACGAACAAAGTTACTGTAACAAAAATATACTATAAGTCATAATAACTTATCAAGGAGAGTTTATTAAAGTAATATGCTACAAATAAATGATGGGCTAGCACTATGTATACATTAAAAGAATATAATTTCTGACATTTTGAACTTAATCTACACATTTACATTTTCTAAATGTGTCTTTTATTTACCAAGAAATGGAAAAGTAGAAGTAATTAATAAGTTTAGTTTTCAATGGTTTAAAATGTCACAGGGTTGCATGCATCATTCGACGGTGCTCGTCCTCAAAATTCAAGACTGATTTCGGCAGCAGTAAGGTGTATCGAGTGTGACATCCCTAAATATGAGCCTTTGAGGGCTGACAAATACTACAAAGTCGTGTCGCAGAGTTTTCTCGGGAATGGTGGGGACGGTTTCGATGTGAGTGTTAATACATTTGTTAGTAACACATATACACATTTAAAGATAAACTCGCGATATTATCCAGTTCCACAATCACAAAAAACACTATTTTTTATGGGAATATCGCAAAATTACTTCTCTTGCCCTGAGTGGGTCGAGAGAGTGTCAGACTCTTACTGACTAAAAATCACCCCGTTCCTTCTACTCTGTACCAAGGTCGGGTTACATAATGATTTAATATAATGGATTAGATAACATTAACTTCTTATCTAAATGTTTTTGACAAGTTTTATTGCTGAACAAATTTTTATACCTTTTTATTTTGTTTTTTTTTGTGGTTTAATCATTATTGTAGCAAAAAATTGAAATTGGAACCAAATAAAATTTTATTGAAATCAATTTTAATATTCGTAATTTAAAAAGGGATAAAGGGATATAATGAGAATAAATATATTCGGCGTAAATTCGAAATTCGGAGGTTCTAGATCTCGCCGAACATTATTTTATAAGGTTCATATTGCCTAATATCAATAGCCTACAAGTCTCACCTACAACTTAATATTAGCATAATATTGTCTACATAATGTATGTACATCGAAGTTCCTACGAAAGTAGAATATTTTATGAAAGATTGCTTTATGAAGGAAATGGAAATTACTAGGCTAAGTTTATTTTGTAAGAAAACTGAGGTAGGAGAGTGTTACGTATAGGTTTTTGTATAATAGTTTCTCATTTTGAGTGAAACTGATTTATGAAGTAATTCACTGCTTTGTCATGAGTAATACTCATCAGACATCAGAGAAAGACTTATTATAAAGTTAAAATTGTTAGAAGACTAAAAAACTAAGGCGCATTTTTGTAAAGGTTGCTAGCCCATTATTTATGTTTTTATGGGAGATATGGTATTATGTCCACCTTAAGGATTTCAATTTCTTTAAAGGATAAATAAATAATACTATGAATTAATATTGAATAGTCAAAAATAATGTAACCCCATTTCTTTACAACTTGAGTTGCTCTCAACCTTGCAGGAATGCGCGCAGTTTTTGACGGTGGACGACCTTTAGGAAACCGGGTGATTGATGTGACCATTCGGTGTATTGAATGTGATGTACCCAAATATGAACCTTTGTCTACCGAAAAATATTATAAAGTAGTGTCAACTGATTTTTTAGGAAACGGCGGAGGTGATTTTACCGTAAGTCGAAAAAAATAGACCAGTTTTTTATATGATAGGATGGCAAACGATCTGATGGATAACCTGATAGTAAGCAATTGGCACCGCCCATGTACAACCGTAACACCAGAAGAGTTACGAGTGCGGTTTGGAAACTAGGATTTCGGAGATTTGGGGATTGGGAGAGAGGAAGGATTGGAGCAAAGTCAAAGTCAAATCAAAATCATTTATTTCAATGAGACTTCAAACGTCAAGCAAAAAAAGGAATAAAGTATTTCAAGAGCTTTAACATTAAGCATGACAGTCAGTCTGTCTGTCTGTCTGTCCTCTAGTGAAGCTATTTGCTCGTTCCAAAGTAAATTCCTATGGAGAAAAACGAGCAAGAAACTCCACGGTTACTCTTTTTCAATCAGTTTTACAATACATTTTTTGTTACATCATTTAGTCGGTTCTGATATACATAGGTATGATGGGCGCCGGTAAGCTCACCTACACAAGAAAAAATAACGCTGTGGTTATTTCACAATAGTTTACAGTAAGGTCGTGGTATAACGTAAGTCGAGTCGGCCTATTCGTGACAAAAATGACTGCTACACACAGTTAAAAACTTTTTTTTCTTACATACAAAATTATCGACAACGTTATTGTGTTTAAAAAATATTTTCGTCTATAAAAACTTATCAAATACCATTTCTTGCATCAAAATTAAATATATTAGTGAGACATTCAAATGTACCAAGATACACTTTATGAGCCATTATTATTTAGTTAGTTATATAAGTTTCAAGTCTGGTCTTTTCCATGTTTGGCCCGCTCGCTTAATGGGTGGACGAGATTACAGTAATTTTTTTTACGTACAGAGTATGTACAGTCTAGAAATTGAGTCATGATGACTGTCACCAATGGTGATAATCTACTCATGTATAATGATTAGTTGAAATAAATAAATTTGGACTTTGACTTCACTTCAAATAAAAACTATTTTCGTGTAATGCTACCATGTAATAATTCTGCTTTTTCATTTTACAGATGATAAGTGAAAATCGTAAAAACGTTGAAGTCGTTGGAGTGGACTATGAAGTTCTTATGAATTATATTAGGCAACTCGCTCCCATATACGCCGAAAATGAGGGTCGTATGCAGATCAGTAATCCGTGCATTATATGAGAAGATTAACGAGTGTGCTGATGATACTTCTGCACTTACATTATGTATTATAAATTATTTTTGTAAAATAAAAGCATGATTTTATTATAAAGGTAGTCTTGTTTATTTAATTGTAAAACCAGCAGGATTTTTATTGTACTTTTTTAGTTATAATGTTAATGTTTTAATACTTTTTACGGGGCGAAATTAAATAATGGCTATTCCCACTCTGGCCAAGGCAACAAGTGTCGGACTGTTTTAATATTTTTTATGTGATAGGATGGCAAAGGAGCCTTTTAATTACTTGATGGTAAGCAATCAGCGCCGCCCATGGACACCCACAATAACGGAATTACGATTTCGATTAGGGATTTGGAGATTTTAGGATTGGGAAGGAATTGAAATTGCGGGAGGGATAGAATTGGGCCTCCGGTAACCTCACTCACAAGGCAAAACACAACGCTGTAGTTGTTTGACGCTGGTTTTCTGTGAGGCCGTGGTATCACTCCGGTCAAGCCGACCCATTGGTGCCGAAGCATGACTGCTCCCGGCTGTGCCCGTCGTATATTATTGCACTCTTGCAACCACATCAAGGACGACATGAGAACGTCTAACGGCCCTTATAAGTCTAGTTTAATAAGGGTGATCTTTGTCCATACTTTATTAACAATGTTAAATGTTGTAGTATAACAAAAAACTAAAAATATACACACTTAAGAGTGTTTTTTGCCCAACGATGTTATTCCTCAGGAAATATAATTTACCGTGTTAGCCACCGATAAAATGCCATTTACATGAATCAAAGCATTCCATTACAAACTCAATAACATTTAAAAGAATATCCATCCAAAAGATTTATATAGTGCAAAGGCGAATTGTCGGGAATATGAAAAAGTCTAAGATATTAATTGCCATAATAAATTATACAGTGAAATGATCACTAGAATGAATTGCTCACAAAAAATCTAGTTAGTCACGGACCAAGGATCGTTATTCATTTTATTGAAAAAAAAACTTATTTCAATGGAGTACGGATGATATTGGAATTACATTTTCTTTTTGTTAAGGAAGCTTTTCTTACTGATATAGGTTTTTACAATGATATTGAAGACTATCGGAGATTTGAGATCTTTGTATAATGTTACATGAATGTTTTTAACAAGCCTGTCATTTTAAAAGGTTACCTGACTAACCGTGAACGTTCTTATCATGAATCAAAAAGAGAATATTTTGAAGATATTGACAGAAATTATTATGATAGAAAATCATATGCAACTTGCAGTGTTATTTTTTTTTTTTTTTATTTTAAGTGATAGGTCGGCATACAAGCCGACGGATTACCTAATGGTAAGCAATCAGCGCCGCCCATGGACACCCGCAACGGAGGAGTTACGAGTGCGTTGCCGACCTTTTAGGGATTAGGGATTTGGAGATTTCGGGATTAAGGAGGGATTGGGGGAGGGGAAGGATTGGGCCTCAGGTTAAGATCGATTCCGTGTTAATAAGGTGTAAAAATAAAAATTAAGCCGAACGGACTAAAACACTGCCTTATGTTTTCTTTATTTGTAATGCTCTGGCCATTAACTCACCTGATAGTCAGTAAGCGATGACGCAACCTACGATAGTACACGCCTATCCATAATCAACCTTTTTACTCGCGCCTTGAAAACGCCAATGTTAAACCCTTCGGGGATCAGAAAAAAAAATCATTCCTTAGCGGTTTTGATGTCAGAAGTGGTGGCGAATCGTGAGTGCGTGTAGGTGGGATATCCACGGAATGAAACGGTAACGTTTTGATGATTGTCTAGTAGTATGGTGGTGGAAATGACTTGCGGAAGTTACGTAGCTTCTTTCAACATTTTACAAAATATATCCGATAAAAAACTGAAAGTCTTGCGTCGATACGAGATAAATTCTCAATGACGATAATGACGAGGAAGCTGCTAAAGTAAATTAGATTTAAAATGTAACAAAAAATGCTTAAACTCGTACTTGTAATGCCCACAAATAAAACAACAATTACGATAAAACATTCATTACACAACTCGCAAAGAAAACTTCGTAATGTAAATACAAAACTTAATAAGCCAGAGCCGATATTCTTGCATTTTTAAAAAGGAAAACGCAGTTATAATGAGAAATATTTAAGGAGCAAGTTTCCAAGACTGAGGAGGACAATTAAAAACAGTTTTCTTTCCAACGCTGAAAACTGGGAAGTATTTATACTTTTTTTTTTAAAACAAGATGAAAGAAACGACGACGATGTGCGACCTCGTTTTTGGTAAATATTGCTTTTAATCTAATTATTTTTGAATTTATGAACGGACTAAGTTTTTCTGAGAAATTACACGTAGTTTGAAAACTGTTTTCTTAAACCTTGCTGAGAATAGAATAGAATAGAATTTGTATTTTGCAATTATGAGTACATTGGGTTCTTCAGGTTATATTTTGCTCAGTCACATTTTACCATTCGAAATGCAAACATTTAAAATTATTTATATTTTTTTTTTATGTGATAGGTCGGCAAACGAGCAGACGGATTACCTGATGGTAAGCAATCAGCGCCGCCCATGGTCACCCGCAACGGAGGAGTTACGAGTGCGTTGTCGACCTTTCAGGGAATAGGGATTTGGAGATTTAGGAACTGGGGAGGGATTAGGGAAGGGGAAGGATTGGTTAATATGAGTACTACACTGGATCAAATTAAAAATTATTAGATCATATTGATATCGTGCCAATTCTATAGAGAATATTATTATTACAATAAAAAAGTCATAGAAACAAATTAAAAAGGTCATAAAATCAATTAAAAAAATAGTAAAAAAGTCAATTTTTACATAAAAAATTTAAAACAAAAATGACAAAAATCAAAATCTGTAAATTAAATATATGTCAAAAAAGTAAATTTCAAAAATCAATATGTCAAAAAAATTATAAATAAATAATATAATGAATTTTATTATAAATTAATGACAATATTTATTTATTGCCGTATTAATGCACAAGCTGCAAAGAGGTTACTACTTTTTTATGACATATGGCGGCAAACTTTCAGACGTATTACCTGATATTTGCCATCAGCAGCGCCTATGAACACCTGCCTTTTGGGGATTAGGGTTCGGATATTTAAGGATTGGGAAGGGACGGGGGGGGGGGGGGGGGGGGAGAAAGATTTGGCCACCGGTAATCACTTTATACGGCGGAACACAATGCTGTAGTGGGTTCTTTGGTTTTCTATGAGACCGTAGTATCACTCCAGTCAAGCCGACCCATTGGCGACAAAGTTTGGCGGTCCTAAATCTTTATTTTAAAAACGAAAAATTATGTTTCGGAACAGTGGCTATGCATTATTTATTTATGGTAAGAAAGCTGATATAACGTCTTTATATTTATTTAAATGTGTATTCTTTATTGTTAAAATTTTACAAACTACAAAAAACAGACTTATGTATACTTGTTATATTATTATAGACTATTACAATTATATTGTTCAATGGGCGGTCTTATCATGAGGGGTGAATTTTTCCAGATAACCTTTGGATGAAAATTTAAAAGACCATTTTACTGTCCTCTGGGGTACCCCCATAAATACGGCAACTATGTGTCCAATTCTAAGGTCACCACCCCATAACCGAGCCTGAAAACAACAAAAAAATTAAGAAGTAAAAGTACTCTCAACAAAAATGTATTGTTTACCTTTAAATAATTTTTATATTATAGTGACGGGCTAGTGCTGAAAATCAGCGCGACTCGAGTTATACTCTCGGGTCACGGCATTTTAGCTGAGCACTTGGCCTTTTTGCGCCGTGCATACTCTCCATATAAGTTGTACCTAATTAGTCTGTTATTAATTTTTGCGTTGCAAATAAATATTTTTCTTTCTTCTTTTCTTAAACTATATTTTCCAATATTTTTAAACTTATCGTATTTTTAAGTCGGTCTTCTTCCTACATATGGCATAAGAGTAGTATAAAGGGACTACATATTTAACATACAACAGGCAGAAGCTCTCACTCGTAATCCTAAATACTTTACATTGTGATTATTTGTGATCGCCAATATGTCTGCCAAGCCATGAAATTTTCCCAAACCCAACTTTGTATAGGAGGCCACGAGTACAACGTCAAAATCCTTACAATTCAAGCTTATGCCTTTTCATACGAATCTACAGATCAGAACCGACTGAATTACGGACAATTAAACATTCAGTTTTTAAAGATTAAGGCCGCTATTTCACTGCCGTGTCAAGAGAGACGGCATCTTTCGAACTAGGACGCAACGTTTACGTTGCACGGACGTTAACGCTAGTAAAACGACTATTAGGATAGCCACCTTAGACATTATTTCCAAAAAATAAAATAACCATTATCAGCCACCGCCGTTGAAATCGGCAAGAATAAACTTAAATAAATATCACAAAAGCAGCAGTGTGATTCTGTAAGACTTCATCCTAAATTTCGAATCTGAATCCGCTGTGAGTACCTATTAGTACACTAGCGCTACACTTGTGAGTTGAACTAAATTGACAGCAACATTTTGATAGATAAAGTATGAGATGACGTTAAAAATGGCATTCTAAAATTAAATTTACCCGTTAATTCGACGCTCATTTCGCACTCGAACACGATTCAAAATCAAACAAATTTTATAGAATCGACGTGCTGTTTACATAGATATGAACCCAGTTTAATATTACAAACTCAATTATTCATCTTTGTACTAATCATGAATACCATCGCATATCACAATAATTCACTTCGCCAACTGGGTTGAATACAATTATACCAATTTCCTGAAATTTTCATAGACACGCTACAACCTATTAAGCTATCCAGAGTTTAAAGCCTTTGCGCGCTAGTTACTGAGATGCAATGGCCCATGAAATTGCACTGAGCTGCACATCGAAAACTTTATATATATGTACAGTTAGTAGCTATGTATATGTATGTTGTTTGTGAGAAGTAATAGTTGTTTTGTTCGCGTGATTGGTTTGTATTGGGAAATACATATACGTCGATTGAATGGCTTATCGTGTGAGAGTCTGTTGATCTTAAAGTCA